TGACTGATATTGACTTGACCAGATAGTAGTAGGTGTATTTATATTAATATCTAGTCAATATGTATGCAGCACTGCACTGTTTGAACTTGAACAATTGCAATGTGAGGCCCTGACCATCTGTACATATCTCTTTGAATTGCTTCCAGTACATTGATTGGGCCACGTGAAAGCTATGCATTCTGCCCTTCTTGGTGGCAGAAGTGGCTGTCGCATCACCATCAGCACCTGCAATCTGCCGAAGATTTCTCACAGCTGCAGCTGGATAATGATATAAGAGATAAGATATCTCAGCCTCAGACTGTACTGCTGCAGTCCTGCTAATTGAAAGTCTTGACCTTGACAAAACTAGACTAAACTGATGATATATGATAGACCGATAGACCGTCTATAGACCAGGCTAGACGTCGCTTGACCGACCTATACAGTAGACTGGACTAGAGACTAGTATGCTACTAGTATGTCTGTATGATTATGTATGTGATAAATTAATTGTATCCTGTATCCTGTATCCCAAATGATACGCAAATAGCACAGCAGAATGACACCACCTCGTCGTCGCTTGACGCACTGCTTCAAAACCAATCGACGGTCCTTCTTCTTTGCACGCTTTCTCCTTTTCAACTTCTTTGCTGCACCATTGCCAGAACCGGAACCCTTTGCAGATCCAGGCCCAGGCTGTTCGTTGTTGGTATCGGTATCAGGCTCTGATGAAGTCTCAAACCTGGAATGAAGGCTACAGCTACAGGCTATTGACCACTGAATTTCAGAATCCACCAATCGGTATTGGATGATGAAATGAAACAGAACTGTCTCCGAGTCTCCATCTACTATTATCTACTACTGTCTACTGCCTTCTGAAAATGCAAATTCGATCTCAAGACTCAAGGGATATGAGAAAAGACCACACAGGACCCTACAGCAGCCAAATGTGACACTTCAAGTCCTGTCCAGTCCAGTCAAGTCTGAGTCTGAGTTCATATTCTTGTAAACTGCAAATTCAAGTTTTGAAATTTAAACTACATAGCCTTACATAGCATGCAAGTAGCGTTCCATACTGGACCAAACCATACTGTCAATACTGTCCCACAAAAAACGCTGCAATATTGATTATGAAGTATGGAACAAGTAACTCTGCAAACAGCTTCTCGTGACGCACGGCTATGCTGCTCAAAAAAGATTCTGCCGACATTTTGAGCCAATTCTTGGCTGTTCCCAGATGATCAGAACATTGGGACAACGTCTTGTTGATGTGATGTGAACACTCAAGGCGAAATATGCCCAGTCTGGCACTTCGGCTTGCAGCATAAGCCACTTTCATGAAGCACTGGAACGCCTGGAAAAACGGGGCAGCCCACAACTTTGAGTCTACAGTGAGTTCCAAGGACGTTCCAAGTAGTTCCTCCTCCTACTACTACTACTACTACTGCTACTACTACTACTACTACCACCTATTTCGTTGATTTTTGACTCTTGATTGAAATTCAAACACACCTTACGGCTACAATGCAGTGCAATGCTGCTGTCTTTGCCCAGCTTATTGTACCTCTGGCTCAGTCAACGTCTTCAGGCTGGCTTGAAGTGGGCGTCCAAAGCCATGGTCGAGGCAACAGGGCGGCTGCGACATAAAACGGGTGAAAAGCCCAAAGCCTGCAAATGCAGTGGCATGGATGGGATGGGACAAACGGATTTGATTTGGATTTAGATTGAAAGCTGCAAAAAGGTATCAGTATCACTATCACTGTCACTGTATCAGTATCAGCATCTGTCTCTGTCAGTCTGTCCTCAGAGTCTCAGAAAGTTGAAAACTGCCACCGTTTAACTGTTAACTGTTTAACGTTTAACGGTTTAACTGTTTAACTGTTTGCCGAAACCAATCGGAAAATCATAAAGGTAAACAGTAACGGTAAAAGTATAAAAGGAAGTCGGAAGTACTGTGCAACAGTTGAAAGTTGAGGCACTCTGTGTGGGTTTGGAAAGATTTGGCTAAAAACTGCAAAGCTGCTGAGAACTTCTGACAACTTGGGCGCGGCCAACAGGCATAGAGGGCAGTTGTCAAGGGGCTTGTGCAACCTGGACCAGGATATATCATATGTAATATAATATATGATACAATATATTCTATAATTATATATTTATATTTTATATATATATATATTTCCTATATCATATTATGATCATATAATATATATTATATTATATCTGATTCTGATTCATATATTATATAGCCATATCCAATGTATATATATAAAATAATATATATATATATAAAAATAATATTACATAAATATCATATATCATATATCTGATTCATATTATAATATCATATATCTGATTCATCTGATGATCTGATGATCTATGATTCTATGGTCTATGATGACTATGATTCTGACTATGATTCTGATTCTGATCTGAATCTGATTATGATCTATTATGATTTGGAAATATTGAAATATGATATCAGATGCAAACGATATGATACTATTGTCACACCTTGGCCTTTTGAGTTTGGTCCGGTCCACAAAAGAAAGCCGACTGCTGCACCTGCGCCAAACTGCTGCTGCTCCTTGCTTCGAGTTGCAACCCCCAATAATAATTGCACGGTTTTCGAAAATAACTGAATGAAGTAATCAATCAATTGCGGCATGGCCACAAAAACATTCATTAACCATGCATCATGAATGCAGCAGTTCAGCTCCAGTTACGATTCAGGTTCAGTTTAGAGTTTGGATTCTAAAGTCTAGACTCTAGAGTCTAGAGTGTTTAGTTTGAAGTTAAGTTACGGGAGCCACTAGGCACTCAAAACAAAACTGGTAACTTAGAAACCACTGGTGGATGGGCATTGATGTTGGGCTATGTCGGGTCCTCAAAACAAAACTACTGTCTACTTTCTATTGTTTCTACTGTTTCTACGGTTTCTACTGTTTCTACAGCTCAGCTACTTATCAGTATCAGTACTACTACTACTGCTACTACTGCTACTGAGTATGAATAGATTTTTGAGTAGTAGTAGTGTAGTCTGTAGTCTGTAGTCTGTAGTCATAGTCATAGTCATAGTCATAGTCATAGTCATCATAGTCATCATAGTCATAGTAAGTAATAGTAGTAATAGAAAGTAATAGTCTATTGAATATTGCCATAGTCCATAGTCGTCTATAGTCTATAGTCTGTAGTCTGTAGGGTCTATAGTTGCAATGTCCCGCCACTGCTGTCCTGCTACCAAGCACCTTCTGCTTAAAATGAGAATGTCATTTTCCTGGACATCAGCTCCAAACCTGGGCAGCACCATTCGACTGCCTACTTCAAACTTCGAACTTTGAGCCAACCAATCGAGAACCAGTAGAAGAAGCTGAAGTAGAAATAGATTTTTGGAATTGTCGCAATGTAATGCCGGCCTCCTAAGGGCTTAGGCTAAGCTTCAAACAGCAACAAAAGCTTCTGGTGGAAGGCATCACTGGTAGCCATTCTGGCTAGTTGCACCAGTGAATTCCCAGTAACTCTTCCTGCCGCCCTCAGCTCCCAGCTTGCGACAAAATGTGTTCCATGATTCCATGCACTTAGAGCAAAGCTGTAACTGTATGCTGATCCGACCAAATCTTGTTGTATTATACTAAAATCATATTTTAAATCTACTTACATGCATGATAATATAAATAAATTATGTATGACAATGACAATGACTATGACTATGACTCATAGACTATGACTATGACTATGACTATGACTCATGACTCATGACTGCCTGAGCCTGAGGAAGACACCACTCAGGAAAACCGTGTGACCCATCAGCAGCTTCTGAAGGTGTCAACTGGAGACCTGAGCTGATTTGATGGAATCAAAATGTTGGCTGTTGGCTGATAGCAGTTAGCAATTAGCAGTTAGGCAAACAGTGGCTGTGGCTGTGGCAGGGATTGGGCCCGTACTGTCTGCGTTGAACAAGTACCTCCGACAAAGTTCCCGCAGATCATCTTCTTCTGTGTCCTGGCTCTCACACCTAGGCTCCAACCAGCTCAATGTTCAAAATCAAAACCATTGCCTGGGCTTGACGGTTCCAATGCGAAGAATATAACTTATGATTTCTGATTTGAAGTAAGATTCAAATCCAAACCAGTATGGCCTGGTCTTGTACAAAATAAAATATATAATTATATTATATATTATTTTATATATTTATAAATTATAAATATAATATTATATAATATTTATAAATCAATATAAATATTATAAATTATATTATATAATATATATTTAAATAAATATATATTATTTTAGTTTATTTTGTATAATTATATAAAAAATATAATAATATATATATATATAATTTAATATATAGATATATATATATATTATATATATTAATAATCATATTATCACTATTTCCCCTGCTACAATTTTACGTGGAAAAAATCTACAGAGTCGTAGTCATGAGTCATAGTCATAGTCAGGAAAAACAGTCAACTATCAGGCCCAATCCAACAGTGACACTCAGTCGATCAATCAGGGCCCAAACTCGTAGCGAAGGATGTAGAAAAGCAGCATTCGAATGGGTCGATTGCATTCCATCAACAAAAACAGCTTCAGCGGTGTCGTTTTCTCATTGGCCCTCAGCTGCAAACCATGACAATTGAGTCAGTCAGTCATTGGCAAGTCATTGGTCATTGGGAATTCACACTTTGACTAGACTTTGACTGTGACTTTCATGGCAAAACACAACTCATTCTTGATTCTGGATGATTCCTGCTTCCTGCTGAGACTTGATGAGGACACGACCATTTGGACAGCATGTTCCGTCTGGTACGTTGTTGTGCTGTAAAGGCGGCTGAATCAGACTGCTGGACCTTTGTCCATCCAGCTCAAAGTCAAGCGATTGAAAATTTGAAAGAGATAAAAGTAAAAGTACTGTAATGAGTCAATGAGTCATGAGTCATTAGTCATTTAATTTAGTCCATAATTTCATGTTCCATTTGTCACAGTTACTACATACTAATAATTAATAATGATAATCACTGCTTCCTGCTCAATGCTGATTCAAATGGGGCCCAGACATCAGCATCCTTGTCCATGGTCTTCGCCAATCCGCTACTGTCACTGTCTTTCGATGCCAGAGATGCAAAGAGTGGCTGTAGCATTCCAAAAGATAATGACAAACCCAATGCAAACTCAGCTACACTAGCCACCCCTGTCCAGCGAGCTTGGGCTGGTCTGCTGGGTTTCGAGGCAAGAAAGATATGTCGATACAAGATCGTCACGTGATCTACAACTGCATGTCGAAGTTTTTCCTGCTGCATGCCATTCTCTAATGCTGAGTCATCTACGTACACGATCAAGTCCTTCCCCTGCCAGTCGGAATAGCCAACCAGCCTAGCCCAACAGACAAGCTTCCAGCTTCCACATGTAGCCGAAGCAGATGATGCTTGATTTGACTCATGGTACATGATTTGCTTTTGGATTGAATGACTGCTGACCACTGCTAATTTGGCTGGTTGAAAATACAGTCGCTGTCCAGTCACCATCAAAATTCAAAAGTAGTCAAATCAAGTCCAGAAAGTCAAAAATCAAAAGTCTCAGAGCATCCAAAGTCAACTGCAAGACTCGGACTGCCAATACCTAAAGCAGCAGTGGAACTGTCTGGGCTTGAACTTGAACGAACCAATCAATAAGTTGTCAATAATCAATAAAATAATGTCAATAATCAATTGGTGAAATACATCATGGGACTCACAAAATGACACCAACAGCAACAATGGCGCCTCAAAAGTTCAGATGCTGACTCCACGAGTTCACTCTGCTTCTTGCTGTTGGCCGTGCTATGCTGATCAGAGTCTTCAGACAATTCAGTCGCATTGAAATCAAAGCCTGAAGGTAACTTACCCAAGAGTTTCAAGATCTCGATGTTGAATTTCAATTGATCAAGTGCACTTTGCGGGCGGGATGACAATGGACGCAAGACAAGCTTTTGCTCAATCACCTTCTGCAGTGCATTTTGCAAAATACTCCATGTGCTTGCCCCTCGCATCTGGTTTCCAACACGAACCAAGTTGGTAAGCAAGAATGGTCCTTTCTTTGCTTTTTCAGTTTTTTCATCCTTTTCCTTGGAATCCTCAATATCTTTTTTGGGTGCTGGACCAACATCTTCACTTTTGCTGCCCTTGCCGCGGCTGCGGCCTTTACCACGACCACGTCCCTTTGGTTTGATTTCTGGGGCAGCCGGCTCTGGCTCCTTTGGGACCTGGCCCCACGGCCAGGAGCAAGGCAAATCCTGAGAGATTGACGGTTGATGAATGAGAGTCAACAGTCAATGTCAATTCAATTCAGTCAGTTGAGACGACTAGTCTAGTCTAGTCTACAGTCTAGTCTAGTCTAGTCTAGTGACTACTGACTACTTACTACTGACTGACTAATATCAAATATCATGTACTGTAATGTACTGTAACTGTAACTGAACAGTGAAAAGTGGAAAATGAAAAGTTAACTGTGAAAAGCATTTTATGTCCTGAGAGTTTCTGTTTCTTGGGTCCGGTCCCTGCCCTCAGACAGTCACTGAGCACCAAGCCAAGCAAAAGGTTTGGACGCTAGAACAAAGATGTACTGCATGGCACTGGCAAGTAAGCTCCAGGACCTACAGTACAGTATGGACCCATATAGTATAGCCAGAGTCTTATAATTTATATATATATATATATAATATAATTTATTATATTATATTATATTATATTATATTATATTATTATTATATATATAATATATTATATTATATTATATTAAATTATATTATATTATATAATTATATATATAATATATCAATATATTGTATATTAATCATAACTCATACACATACACTCATAATTTATAATAATGCATTCATATATTCTATGATTCTATGATAGACTGATAGACTCATTTAATATTATATTATTGTTTTATTATTACACATCATATACAGATACATATCAAAGGCATAATTCATAGAATATCATATACCATATCCTGAAAAGATGCCAGCCGCTGCCAGCCAGCCAAGTAGCCTGCCTGGCTGGTTCTAAAAAATACAACTGAATCAAACCAAACCAAACTGAATTTGGATCATTGAAGAAAATCTGGAATGGAACCTGGTGTCTGATGAATCTGAATTGTCTGAAGTCTGAGGGTTTCACCAAACTGTTGGAAGTGCACCGTTTGAGCACCTGCACATATCACTGTCTGAGTCTGGTCACTGGTCCCGTCTGGCTGTCCAACAAACAACAAGACCGGCCATGACTAACTAAAATGACTAACTCTGACTGACTAACTAATATATGACTTGACTTGACTTAACATAAAAAACTTGACTCAACTCTGACGCTGACCGTGATGTGCCTGACCCACACTATTGCTATTGCTGTTCTGTTACTCTACATTCTCCTCTCCCACTGTCCCACCCGGCACCACTAAAGCCTCAAACTTCTTCACAAGAACATTTGAGAAGGCACCATCAGCAAGCAGTATCGCAATGTTGTACACCGCGCCACTGACCAATGTCGACCTTTTGCAACGGCGCTGCTCGAAAGTTCAATCCGACTTGGAGTCATACTTAATTACTTCACTTAACTTAACTGAACTGAACTTTCAGTTGAATTGAATTTCATAGGCTTTGGCGTTGACTTTTAATTTTCAAATCTGAAATTTTGTGGATCTGAATCTGATCTGAATCTGATCTAAATTCTTGTTATGACAACAGTCTCTGACAGTCATATTCAGCAGATTATGATTCAATTCTGATTCTGATGATGACAGCACCACCGTCCAAGAAAATAAAACAAACAATTCAAAAGCCTAAGCCGATAAGCCTAAGGCCTAAGCCATGCACCCAAACTGAAACCTAAAAAACCGAACCGAACCAACCCACCAAACCTCTTGGATGGCCACAATGGCATCCAGTCATCCAGAGCAGCCTTTATCGTGGAAGCAGTGAGCCGATGCAACCGAAGTGGTGGGACAATGATAGGCTCCTGCAAAACGTGCTCAGCGAAGAAGATGGATTTGGACTGTCATAGGCTTAGGTGGAGTCAGTCATCATGCAAAATGGTGGTGGATTCATTACTTATTACTTCACATATCATATCATATCATTGATCATCGCATGATCAACTCAAAATTCAAAACTGAATGAGTGAGGGCATACTCCCTGGCTGGGCAACTATGACTCTTACTCTGACTGTGACTCTCTATTTTACTTCCTTCTCTGACTTCTGCAAATCAGCGCAGTGAGGTTGGTTCGGTTGGGTTGAGTCTGTTGCTATCTGTGTATAGCAAGCTTGAGCGAAACAACCGGAGCCGCAACCTAGGAAATTGCATCTGCACTCTGCTCTCTGTACAGGAATTTGGAGTATCCAGTGCCTCCGATACTGTGCCACAACTCTGCATCCACTGGTTCCATTGCAATGCCACAAATGAACAATACAAACATAGAAATCATAGAAATCATAGAACATAGAATTTCATATCATATCATCATAGAATCAAATGATTCACGAATCATATTGATTGATATTGATATGCAAGCACACACAAGCATCAAAATGAACAGTTTTTAATTTGATTAGTAGTGTTGTACATGACATAGAGTTACATACATACGTTACATACTGACATAGTGAAATGACATCGATCATCGAATCTTATCAACACTGCTGCAAAAAAAATATTGAATTACCACTGTCCACTGTGGCACGCAGTCTCATCTCCAATGCCGGGTCAGGGCAACCCGATGCCGATTCCACCAATGATGGACTGATTTCATTGGCACATTGACCCTAATACTACCATCAACAAAAGAACCAATGGACTTGGTTGCTGGTCACGCCATGTCACACGTCTCACATGTCAGGTAGTGGCACACCACAGAAGATCGTGATCTGGTCTTCATCTTCGTGAACCACAACTCGACCCCCTTCCTCATCCTCAAAGAGTGCTGATCCCGTAACCCTTTGGCTAGGGCCATCGGAGTTGCGCACAGGCTCTGCATGCTGAATGCCAGCTAGAGCTCTCTGGAAATCAAAAGCACGTCCAGACCGTCCAGGTCCAGATGATGACGACGCACTGCCCATGGAATGACTGGTGGCACGGGCACATGTCTTTGCCTTTGCCTTTGGCTTTCCAATCACATCATGTAATGTGCGCTGGGTCGGGCGCTTCCGCTCTGAGAATCCAGGGTCACCACATGCTTCAATGCTAGCATCAAGCATCTCTTCCAATCCACGCTCTTCCTCTGGCTCTGTTCCAGGATATGGACCAAAAATAGCAGTCAAAGCCTGCTCTTCTGTGGTACTTCCGAGTACGCCGTGACTGTCAACTACCAGCCATTCATCGGACGCGGCCATGGTAAGTCTGGAGTCTGGAGTAACTTAAAGTCGGGCAGGAAGCCAAAATGCTTTGACAGTGACACAGTACCTCTGATTCTGATTCAGCCATCTAACTTGACTTGACTTGACTGTTAGTTAGACTGTCAGTCAGTCAGCATGTTTTTGATTTGATGATGATTCATGACATGATTGATTTGAATTTGAATATTGGTCATTGATCGATTTTCTGATATCAGTTATCTGTCAAGTCAAGTCAGTCAGTCTATCAGTCGAGTCTAGTCTATTATCAATGTCCAGTCTGTATACCTGTATACTGTACAATTATCTATAGTCTATAGTCTATCTTGTCACTAGTCATAGTTGCGATACTTGCATTACCGTTGTAAAGGTTAGTTTAGTTTATTTACTATGGTCTATGATGATCTGTATGTCAGCGGTCAGCGTCAATAAGTTTCTCAAGTCCAAGAACACCCCAAGTCCTTCACAATGACCGGCGGGAAGTGCGAGTCAGCATCCATATCCACCACCTCACGAGTGATCAAACGTCAGTGGTGTCATGTCATGGATTTGATTCGATTTATTTATTGAATGATACCATTTATAATTTATACAATTAGATAATAATTGATAATTGTATGACATGATATGTGCGTGCGATATGAAATATTATAATTCATGTGAGTCAGTGATATCAAGATATCGATGGTCCTGTCTGATCTGATCATCTGTCATTAATTAAGTTATGAATTCTGATAGGCAATCGATGACTAGACTAGATTAGAATTTAGACCTTGATGTTTTTTTATTGGTTGACTGTTGACATCGATGAATCGATTGATTGATGATTGACTGGAAACTGGAAGATTGATATTGATTAATTGACTATGTTGCTGGTTGACGGTTGACAGTTGAATTATGATTCATGATTAAATTATAATTATGATTAATCACACTGCCACAAGAACAGTTGAAAGTTGAAAGCTGAAAGGGAAAGCATTTGCTGAGCTCCCAAGCGATGACCTCACCATGCTGTACCATGATGCTCCTGCTGCGAAAGCGATGCGGATGACAATGCCTACAGGCCTACAGGTGCTTACAGCCTGCGAAAACTGAAACAGGCGCTTGGAATCAAGTGATCACATAATTATTTAATTAACTTAACTTAGGCTTTAACCGACTTTGACTTTAACTTAACCAATAATAAAACTTTGACTTTGACTTTGACTTAAACTTTAACCATATATTATATATTGATTATATATTATATTAATATATATATATATTATTATATATATAATATATATGATTGTAAAATTATATTAATAGTCAATGAGTCAATAGTCAACTGAAAACGGTTTTCAGAAAGCCCCAGCCAATCTCTCATCGAAACTCTAAAAGTAACAAATACCGCCCAACCCAACAGTAAATCATTCATCAATCATCTATCATCCAAATGCCAACTGTCTGTCTACTGTCACCTGGCCATTAGTGAAACATCATTGAACTTGAACGCAAACTTTGAAACACACAACCGCACATGAAAAATTGATCACCTGTCAAAAAAAAACGAAATTGAAATTGAAACATTTTAGTGAGTCGTTGGGTTCATCGTCGGCTGGGCTTCGCACATTGCAAGATTGGCCTTGCTTTCTGCCCTTCTCTTCCTAAGAGGCTGAGGAAGCTGATGCATGTGCACAGTGCAAAATCAAATAGTTAGTTAGTTAATAGTTGATACGAATCATACTATACTACTATACTCAGACTCAGACTGTAGTCTGTAGAGCATTATTATGTGATAGATATCGACATCGACATCGATATATGATATGGTCCATATGAGTCATATGAGTCATATGAATATGGTAAGTTAGTCTAACAGTTAGACCAA